AAGGTTTACCTTCCAACAAGACAATGACCCTAAGGACACAGCTAAAATAACGAAGGAGTGTCTTCACAACAACTCTGTGACTGTTCTTGAATGGCCAGAGCCCTGACTTAAACCCAATTGAGTATCTCTGGAGAGACCTAAAAATGGCTGTCCACCAATGTTTACCATCCAACCTGACAGAACTGGAGAGGATCTGCAAGGAGGAATGGCAGAGGATCCCCAATCCAGGTGTGAAAAACTTGTTGCATCTTTCCCAAAAAGACTCATGGCTGTATTAGATCAAAAGGGTGCTTCTACTAAATACTGAGCAAAGGGTCTGAATACTTAGGACCATGTGATATTTCAGTTTTTCTTTTTTAATAAATCTGCAAAAATGTCAACAATTCTGTGTTTTTCTGTCAATATGGGGTGCTGTGTGTACATTAATGAGGAAAAAAAATTAACTTAAATGATTTTAGCAAATGGCTGCAATATAACAAAGAGTGAAAAATTTAAGGGGGTCTGAATACTTTCCGTACCCACTGTATACTTTGTATTTGTATATGCTCTTTTCTTTCCCTTTCTTTTCTTTTTATGGTTTTGAAATTAGTTACTATCAAATGCTTACCAAGGCTGCATTTATTTAATCAAAATAGTAAAAACATAATATTGTGAAATATTATTACTATTTAAATGAACTATTCTCTATTGTAATATACTTTATAATGTAATTTATTCTTGTTATGGCAAAGCTGAATTTTCAGCATTCATTACTACAGTCTTCAGTATTACAGTGTTCAGAAATTATTCTAATATGCTGATTTGGTGCTGATTTTTGTGGAAACTGTAATACATTTTTTCTTTCCTGAATAAATATATAAATATAAAACAATGCACTTTATTATAAGTATAGTGAAATAAGTAAAGAAACGATATAAGATAACATCAACAACTTTAATCAACAATAACATTAGATATTCCCAAGCAATAGTTGCTAATTGTAATAAGGAAGAGTAAAATTAAGGGTGTGGCTAATCAAAATCATCTTATCCATTCATTGGGAAGAGCAAGAAGCCTGTAAAGGTGCAGTCAGTGTCTCTACTGAAGATAGAGCTCAGTGCAGTTGTCTGTACAGACACTTTATCACCTGTTTTCAGTGGCAGTACCACAGATCCTGCAGTTACCATAATCATTCCAGGTGAATCACAGAACTTGACCTTCTCTTCCTCCCCTACCTGAATCTTTAGGCAGGCAGATTGACTGGATGAAATGTGGTAACTGATGTAATACATGCCAGCTTTTTCCACCTCAAAGAAACCCTCACTATCCAAAACATCACCTGCCCCAGAGATCAGTGGGATGTCAAAGACGATTAATTTGTCTGGATTAACTCTCTGTGCCCGAGGACTTTTTTTGTAAGAGAAAACAAAATACTGGTTTGGAGTATCTACCCCCGTAAAATCTCCCCTCTCTCCCTTCGGTCCCACTGGGCCTGGTGCACCATGTAGTCCCTTGTCCCCCTTCTCACCAGGCCTGCCTGGGAGTCCAGGAATTCCAGGGTCCCCTTTTGGCCCAATTATCGGCACTGCATCCTCACCTGCAATCACGCACACAGCCGGGTAAAGTGAGTTTAACCTTCATGTTGTAATTTTGACTCAGGCAGGATTTTTTTTCCAGAAAATGCTAGTTAATGTACTTGCATAAAACTTAAGGGATAATCCACAAAAATAAATAAATAAAAAATATGTTATAATTCACTCACCCTCAAGTTGTTCCAAACCTGTACGAGTATCTCTCTACTTCCCAAATATGGACAAAAAATACAATTGAAATCAATAGGTACCAGAAACTGTTTGGTTACCATTCTTCAAATTATGTTCTTCTGTTTCGAGAGGAAAGATACTCATACAGGTTTGGAACAACTTGAGGGTGAGTAAATGATTTTTTCATTTACATTCAGAATTTTCATTTTTAGGTGAACTATCCCTTTACCAACTTTGCTCACACAGTGTATGTCAAACAAACAAACAAAAACAACAAATAGTGTACTTTTTGGGGATATTTTTTGTTTGTTTGTTAAACTTCTGGTGTTCCTGGTCAAAATGACTGGCCTACAAAAGAATTGCTTATGAATTTCTTTTTATGGCATATTATTTCCAAATATTGGATTCAATCTTTTTATCAACTTTTTTTTCAATTAGCACAAGTACTTATACTTATTTTTAGAGCTAATAGGTCATAGAGGCCTCATTGATCTGAGCTTATGCACCTTAGTTTTTGAGTGAATATTCCCAAAATTAACAAATAAAGCTTTTTGTCACTCAATAGGTGCATAAGCTCAGATAAGTGCAGGCCTATGAATAATCCCTTACAAAAATAAATATAAAACCTTTGCTAATTGAAAAAAAAATCAAAAAGTTGACAAAAAAGAGTGAACCCAGGATTTAATAATATTAATAATAATATAGCATAATGGGAGATTTGCAAGCCATTTTTAAAAGGCCGGTTATTTTTTGACCATGAACACCAGCACAAGGGTTAAGCATACGATTTTCAGCACAAGGGTTAAAATGCAGACTTTTTATTTTATTTATCGGATTCTTTGCCTTTATTTAGGACAGTCAAGGGAAACAGAAGGCAAATTTTTGAATTTCAATTTGCAGTTTTTTCCACATATCACTATACCTGGATCTCCTTTTTCTCCTTTTACACCTTCCTTCCCATCGGTACCAGGAACTCCTGGAATACCTGGTCTTCCAGGGAAACCCCTGTAGCCATCACATGTCTCTGACTCAGAGGAAGCCACCAGCAACAACATAATAATAAGCCGCAGCACCATATGTGCAGACATGAAGATGAATGCCTGTTTAAAAAAAAAAAAAACTTATTTAAAAACAAGTGCCATTTCAAGGAAAAATCATTGGACACTTCAGTTCTTCTACAGTGACTGATATAAGCAAGCATGTAAATATTCCTTTAATCAAATGATGTACTTCAATAAGAATTTTTGAAAATAGAAGCCAAATACAGATTTATTACAATAAGATGAATAATTTATCTTACCATCTTGTCTTCCAAGAAAGCTGTTGGAAATACAGATGGATGGCCTTGAAGCTGAGTGTTACATTGAATGTTTTTCTCCGGTCTGCATGAAGAGCTCTGATTTGATTTCCCGGTTTCAGAGGAGAAGTGCAGAGTTGCACAATAAAGGGAAGTATCAAAACACATATTCATCATAATTTAGATTAACCTTGGATTACCTTTTTCATTAGTGTTACTGACATTTTATTTTGCTAATGTTTGCAAGTTCCATATCCCTTTTCTGAGAAACTGAAGAAGGAAGCAAAGTTATCCATATCGAAAAGTGTTTTGAAAGAAATGTTTACTTTCTTAGCAAGGATGCATTCATTTGATCAAAAGTGACAGTGCACATTTATAATGTAACAAAAGATTTCTATTTAAAATAAATGCTGTTCTTTTAAACTTTCTATTCATCAGAGAATCCTGAGAAAAAAATCTATCATGGTTTCCACAAAATATTAAGCAGCACAACTTTTTCAACACTGATAATAATTGAATGATTGAATGGTATGGTGTATGTATCACAAAACCTTTTTTTTATGATATATGACATGTAGCTAACTTACATAGACACTGTGAATTGCTATCATCAGATAATGTTTAGAATTATTTGCTAAAACTGTGCTTATTATTAACTATTAACAATCCCTACGGTCAGGTTGACAGGTTCTGAAAAGATTATGTGTCAGATCTTTTGAAAAGAGTGATACTGTGTATTCATAAAACTTGAGGCAATTTACTGAAGCATTATTTTGTTTTATTTGATCAGTAGCTTTTCAAAACATAATTGTGTGCATTTTCCATGAGTAAAAGATACAGTATGTTTAACAAGCTCAACTTTATAGTTCAAAACAGTGCAATCAATTAGTGCGCATGAATCAGGAAACCTGAGAAAACACTGTCTGCTTTCTCCCCTTCTGCAAACAGGCCATTATAGCCACCTGTCATCAGCCAGACTTTCTCATTCTCTTTCAGATAAACTGCTAGCCCACCAGAGCTCACCTGCTGGTTGCTCTTTTGCATGTGATCACAGAAAACAGCTAACTTCTTATCATCATGAATTAGGTTTACACAGAGATGTTTTTCATAGGACGATGCATGAAACACAAAATAATAAGTGCCAGGAATTTTACATACAAATTTGCTCTCTGCAATATTGAAATCGACATTGATATTGGTGATAATAGTACTGAAGCGTATCAGAGAGTTTGGCTCAGGATGGGCTCTAGTGGCACGGGCAACACTGAATGCAGACTGCAGATGAGATCTGGAAGTGTCCAAATTGCCTGTGTCCCCTGGCTGTCCTGAGAGGCCGGGTGGTCCCATTATGCCGAAATCTCCCTGGATACCTCTCTTTCCATGAATTCCTTTGGTTCCAGGCTCTCCTTCCCCCCCCCTTTTCCTGATTTCATCAGGTTTAAGAGGCATCCCTGTTGAGATACACAGTTGTTTTTACATCATGTTAGAAGTATAGTATACAGCCTATAATACAACCTAACACTGTCTCAACATCGGTTGGCATTTTTAACTATTAATTAGTAGGTTATATAATTCAGTCCTTTTGTTTTCATTGTTGGGTTCACCCAAATATTCCCACAATGTCGGTCATTGCAGGTATTACTGTTAATACTATATAAGCACAAAACGTTCACACAAACACCTACAACACACTTCTCTTAAATTTAATTTGTTGTTTTATTACTTATTTGATCTGAGCTTTGGTAAGAAGCTATAGTTCACTAAAATTGCTGTACACAGACAGTTTTTTTTTTCTTTTTTTTTTCTTTTTTTTTTTTTTGGCAAAAATGCAATTCAGTTCTTAATTATAGCCTTAATTATAGGCTATAGTAAACAATATTAAATATATAAAAGATAAAAAATTATAAAAAATATTTTATTCATTATATAATAATGCATGTATCTTTGTGTTGATTGATTCATTGGTACGAGTCATTAAAAGATCTAGCCACAACCGTCATTTGGGAATTGCGTAACACTGCTTGCGCTGTACGATTTTGATTCACTAAAAGGAACCGGCTCATTAGAGTCATTTTTTCAGGAATTGAGTTTGTGAGAGAATCAGACACGCGCGAGAAGAGTTAACGGAACCGAACGTCATTCGGTTTTTGCATAGTTAAAACATAGAACAAGTTCTGATTAAGAACTGGTAGGTTCCCACAAACTAAAACACTCTGAATTATTTATTTAAAGAAATAAATTAATTAATTTTAAAAAACGAAAACTTACCAGGCTTTCCGTTCTCTCCCTTCATCCCTTCCCTTCCATCCCGTCCAGGAAATCCAGGGATACCTGGATAACCTGGCATCCCTCCAGAAGAACAAGTGTCAGTAGAGACTAGAGACAGGCAGAGGAAACCCACTAAAAGAATTCTAAAAATGATGTGACCACCAAACATTTTTGCTGTGGAGCGAGGAGATAACCGGACCCACACGACTTGAAATAGTGAGCTCTATAATCGTACACATATACACCAGTCCAAGCAAATTTACTGACAATCACAGTTCCTCTTTTGCGCTGCACGTGTTGCACTTATCCACGGATCTTTCACAAAACTGCATGCAAACAAATCTTTATTCGTAGTATAGCATTTGACTTTTTTCTTAGTGTAAGTTTATAGGCCCTACTGACAACACTGCAAAAATTACTTTTCCAAGTTGTAAATAAAACAAAGATTATTATAATACATTTCACAAGAAAGTACTAGGCTATTTCAGATGTGCTACTTGTATTGGATTATTTATTTTATTTTTACTGGATTCAGTGTGTTACTGGCCTTTCTCTGTAATTGTTTGTGAAATTTACTATAGCGATTTCTGAGAAAAAAACAGTTTCATACTTTTTTCAGTGTAAATATTTTAATGTAAAATAAATATATATTATATAAAATAATAAACATGGCAAATAATTAAAATAAAAAATAATTTCAATTATTTTTTAACTTTTAATTTTTTTAATCAGACAACTTTTATTTTCGTTAGACACATATTTCATTGTTAATGGATTGTAGAATTTAGAATTAAAATATAGTGAAAGGTAATCATTTCGAATAAACATGTTCTTATGCTTTTTATTTAGTTAATTGGAGACATTTATCAAAGACAACAAAGCAGTTTTAATACAAGACCAGATACAAGAATACAAGATTTGAATACAGCTTGCAACAGATTATTAGATTTTCATTAATGTTTTTGAAATGCTTACATCACTGCTATACATCACTATCACAGTCAATAATTATTTGCAGTGTGTTTAATATGTAGACTATTAAGTCCTATGGTTTGTGATAGATTAAAAATCCATTGAACACAGCAGACATGCTTTTGGGCATTTTGCTGCCAGCAGCACTTTTTGTGAAAGGCTCGATCCATACTTTGTCATTTGTAAATAGTTGAAGTATGGCACCACCTGACACAACAGCAGATAGTGATCGTGGGTTTAAGTCACAAAAATTCAGGCTGACTGAATTCCTGTTACTCTTAAGTCTGAGACATAAGTGTCCTTCAGACGATGCGTGAAACACAAAGTAATACACCCCAGGAACCTTGCAAGTGAAATAGCCAGTTTTAAGGTTGAAATCATTATCGACATTGCTAAGTTGACTATCAAAGATCACAGGTTGGCCATATGAAGCATAATCTGCTCGGTTTCGCAGCACAGAGAAAGCTGGCTTCTTACTGGCAGGGCCTCCACTGCCATCAATGCCACCACTTGATCCTCTAGGACCCTTAGGACCAAGAAAACCCTTTGGACCCTGTGCACCCATAAAACCCTTTGGACCAGGTTCTCCTGGAAAACCTCTGATGCCCGTCTCTCCTTTGAGTTCTTGCATGGTGATACTGTTCAGCTCATCCTGCAATGCTGAGAGAGCATACTATTACTCAAAAACTATAATTTCTATTCCTTCATACTAACAATTGCAAGCTCAAAAAAATGCTATTTTTAGCTGATCGTTTTCAACTGGATATGGGATTCATAACACACATTACTTTCTCACCTGGTACTCCTTTCTCTCCCTTTGTTCCTGGTAAGCCGTCCCTGCCAGGGACTCCACTCACGCCATCTCTCCCATGTATCGCACATGTATCATCCTGACAGAAAGCAAAGGGAAGCAGCACCCAAAGAAAAGCAAGTAAAGCCAGTGGCTGCATCCTAAAACATCTAAATCACGAAGAACAAATGAGGTTAACAACTGCACAGGTGTTTTGAGTTAACGTACTATAATAGAAACAACTATAAGACAATATAATATTGTATTATTATTCTAAAATCCTTAGCAGTTAAAAATTTCTGTCTTACCAGTGTCCCGCTGTAAATTTTACACTTCTTTTCTTGATTGTGGGTGGTAAAATAGGGTTAAAAAAAGGCTGATGCTGAGAATTTTTTTTTTAATTGTTTCATTTCTCCAAAATTTGAACTATATTAAACATCTTTTGAAATTGCCAACAAATGGGTTTTTTTTCCTTCCCCATTCTCCATCAACATTCCGTTTTTTATTCTCATAAAACATTTATTGACATAATAAAAGGTCAAAAATCAGTGTTTTACTTCTTAAAACTGTCACAACAACTTAACCCAACTTAACCCTTTACTACACAGATCAACAATTATAAGATTACCAAATAAAAATCTATTTGATGTCGATAATAATCAAGTTGATGGTAATCAGAATGGTTTGGTTACCCATATATCTTCTTTTGTGATCTGCAGAAGAAAGTAAGGCATACAGGTCTGGAATGACATGAGGGTGATTAAATGTTGATAGAATTTTTATTTATGGGTGAAAGGACAGGGTAATAAATTCAACACAAAAATCATTCCATGCCAAAACTGAAAAGAATGTGGTGATTTATTTATTTTTGCAAATATGACAAAATAAAATTCCAAACAGAATAGCACAAAATAACACATAATTTCAGTATAGATGAAGGATTGTGTGAGTCTGTCACAAAAAAAAAAAAAAAAACATTTATTTTGATTGTTATAATACAAATGCTACTCGTTTTTCATGAATATGGAGACTAGACTCTGATTCCTGTGTGCGTTT